TTCCCCTTCCCTTCCCCTCCCCTCCCCTCCCCTCCCCTTCCCTTCCCTTCCTTTTTGTTTCTGTTTTTCATTCATAGCACCAGGCATAACACCCAAACAGTTCTAACCCTAATCCAATTGAGTCACAAGCAATGAACGGAGCGCAGGGAGATGATTATTCTTCAACCTTCTTTCTCCCAGCGTCTCCTAAGCCACTTGGAACACAGTGGAGGTGAGTGTCCTGGAGAAGCCACCGGGATCGGCAGGCCCTGCTGAGTGTATTGAGGATCCTCTGTCTTCATCCCCAGGCCAGACCCCAGCTGGAAACCTACAGGAGGACATTGATGCAACCATCAGATCTGGTTGTTGACAGGATTCATAAGTCAATCAATCGTTCAGCTGAACATATCTTTTCAAATAAATGTAGGAAAACAATTGCCTCTTGTTCAGTATACTTCAGTGTTGTTTCAGACAGTCCTGGGTTCAGTGCCTCCTTCTGCAATTTTATTTGTAATTTAAAAATGATTTTTTTATGTATGAGTATTCTTTTATGTATATCGGTATTCTTTCTCTCTGTCTGTCTCTCTGTCTCTCTGTCTCTGTCTCTATTTGTGTGTGTGTGTGTGTGTGTGTGTATGTGTGTGTGTGCACATGTCATGTCCTGTGGAGGCCAGAGAAGACAACAGATCCTCTGAAACTGGACATATAGAATTGTGAGCCCCCATCAAACTCAGGTCCTTTGCAAGAACAGCCAGTGCTCTTAACCACTGAGCCATCTCTCCAGGACAGTTCTCATGTTTTCTGGATGGCAAGTGTTCTGTGCTTTCTCACTATAAGATGGAGATGCATGCACTTGAATCACTGAGTTTCTCAAAGACTCAAACAAAAGCACTGTCGGGGGTGCCAGGCCAATGGGTGACAGAGAGCCTAGGTGGTATGTAGCCTTCCTGCTGCGTCTGCCCTCCCAGGTGTCTCAGGTCCCTTTTTAGAAAGTGAAAAAAGTCCCCCTCCCCCCACATCACGTCACTTTTATTTTCAGTCTGTCTGGAATTTAAACCCAGGGGATGAAAGAAAATACTGGCGTCAATACTGAGAAAGAGTCTGGGATCTTAATAAAAACAGCAGCCTGTCGGGAGAACTGAGGGATCACGTTAAGAGACTGTGTCTTGTTTTCCTGTGAATATTTTTAGGGTTCACTGTGGGACCAACAGATGTCAAGGAAAAGCTAAATGAAATGAGAAACGTTGGGAAGAGTGTCAAGATGGGGAACAGCTCAGCATCCCTTGCTCTGCCCAAAAGGCAAGCGGAATGGAATCGCACTGTGTTCTGTGTCCACAAGGGAGTCAAGGCGTTCTCCTTCTGCAGGAGGAAGAACCTGCTGGTGACAGGTGGGCTGGATCGAATCATCAGGGTCTGGAATCCTTACCTGCCTGGGTAAGTTGTCTCTCTCCTCCCAAGAGTACTGTTGCTGTCATAAAGTAAATGAAACTGTGACTGGAAATTCCCTACAAGAATCATTTAAAAGCCTATGCCCAAATTAATCTCTCACACACAGAGCCTGGGACATTTCCATTTTTAGCCTCTAAAAGTTCACTTTAGGGGCTGCTGGAGAGACAGCTCAATGGTTAGGGGCACTTGCTAGTCACTCAGAAGACCCAGGTTCTATTCCCAGCACCCACAGAATTGCTCAAAATCATCTATAATTCCAGGCCTAGGGAATTGAACTCCCTCTTTCTGGCCTCTTAGGCCAGGCATGCACTTCATACAGTAGGCCCTTCTGAGCAAGTGCCCAGAAATAGTTTATTTTATAATAATAAAATAATATTTTTTATCCACTTTATTCTGTGCATATGTGTGTGGCATGCACACATGTATGCGTGTTGGCATGTCTAAGAGAGAGCTTGTGCATGTGTGTGTGGCTTCCTGAAACTGACCCTGAGAATCGTGCTGATTTAGGCTTTTATCAGCTTGACATAAACTAGAGTCATCTGGGTAAAAAGAAACCTCAAGTGAGAAAAAGCCTCCACCCGTGATAGACTGTGACCCGGGAGCTGTAAGCTGAAGTAAACCCTTGCCCTCCCCAAGCTGCTTTTTGGTTGCCATGTTTACCACAGCAACAGCAAGCAGATCAGCATCTTCTTCAGTCGCTCTCTGTCTTGTTCCTTGAGGCAGAGTCTCTCCGTTAAATCCAGAGTTTGCTGTTACCAGTAGTATAGCTAGCCAGCTTGCTGCAAGAACCTTGGTCTCTGTCTTCTAAGTGCTGGGATTACAAGCAGGCTGCCTCTCCCATTCAACGTCTCCATGGGTTCTGGGATATGAACCCATTCCTCATGCAATGCACAGCAAGCACTCTATCCACCGAGCCATCTCCTCCGATCTACCTTTTTGGGTAGATACTGAGACCTTCTGTGTCATCACGTCTGTAACCCATCTCTGGCCCCTGTGTCAGGTCCGCTTACCAATGAAGAGTCTGGAGCCCAGAGAAACAATGGCAGAGTCAGAACCCCACAGGCAGAAATGCTGTGGACAGGTGGGGACTGGGGAGTAGGAAGCTGATCTTTCAGTTCTGGTGAGCAAGAATCACATGGGCTATGCCCAGGTTCCTGTCTGGGGGGACAGGTGATCCTGAGTTCACCCTACAGGTGATAGCCAGGACCATGAGGCACGGTGGGGAAGTGCCTTGAATCTGATTGCGCTGCTATGACTTTCTAACTAGGAGGTTCTCCTGATCAACTGCAACAAACTCAGTTTCCCCATTTATAGTTGTGACAGGATACTCGCCCTCTAGGGTAATAAAGAAAATAAATAATAGGAAAGACTCAGAACAATGTGAGGTGCATAATACAAACGGAAGGCAGTTTTCTGCCTGGTTCTATTATGGTTAAAAGCAGGCATGTGCTCCCTCCATCAGCCTGAACCTGGCTCTCCCTCTGCTCCCCTCTCTCCCACCCCCACCCCCACCCCTGCCCACTATGAATACCTTCCAGAATACCCAGCCCCTGCAAGGGCCCTTTAAAATAGCCGTATATTGCAAAGTGCAGATTTTAATGCTGTTCACTCAAGCCTGTAGGGTCACGAACTGGCCGCCCGCCCCTCGGGCTGTTCCTCACCTGTTCCTTTTAGGCAGCTATTGTTAACAGCTGGAGAAACAGGGCCCTGGGCTTCCTTTCACCCGAGCTCTGTTGCTGAAACTGCTTATTATTTTGCCTCAGTCCTTTTATTACACAAAATCTGTACTTGTGTACTATCAGATGGAAGCGTAAGCCTCTTCTAGGCTGAATAGAACTGCCACATCCGGGCCAAACTGAGTTTTGCATTTTTAAAATAGGAGTAGCAGACAGAATGGCTTTGTGCTCGGTTGTTCTTTTCTCTTTCTAGAAACCCAACAGGTGTGCTGAGAGGCCACATGGCTCCTGTGATGTACGTACACATAGCCTTTGAAGAAAACAAAGTGTTTTCCATGTCTGCTGACAACACAATCAAGGTCTGCCCCTCTCATGTTTTGATACATACATCCTTTAGGCGGGCTTTGTCTATTAGTTAAATTAATATATTTATATTTATTTATTTTTGCAACATGACCTCCCACTGTAGCTCAGAATGACCTGGCACTCCCCACAATCCTCCTGCTTTAGCCTCCCAAGCAATTTGCCCATCTCCATCTTTGGCAATGGGGTTGGGGGGGCGGTGTCTCATGCGGGATATAGATGTGTGCATTTTCTTTAGGAGGGTATGTATGTATGTGTCTGTGTGTATTTGTGTATATGTATGTATATATGTATGTATGTGTGTGTGTGTGTATATGCATGTATATGTGTGAGTGTTTGTATATGTGTGTGTGTTTGCCTGTGTTCTTGTGGATGTATGTCTGAGTCTCTCTCTGTACACATATGCACAAGCAGCTGATTGCTTTGGAACTCTCCATGCTGGTTCTTGGTGTGGTGTGTAGCCCTTCCAGCCTGTGAGTTCTTGCCTGCACACTGTCCAGATAGTTCCTGTTCCAACCATTTCCCCAATTATCTGGGAGGCAGAGAGGTGGAGCTGGGAATTCTGCCCACTGCCAACAGTGGCTAGCTCTTATCTGTAATACGTGCTGGACACCAGCCTTCCTGAAGTGTTCCTCGTGGGCCTCAGAACCCAAGCATTTCTGATGTACATACAGGCAATGACATCACAGTTTGGCTCTGTTTCCCCCGTATACTGAATGAACATCCTGTTCCTGTCTAATGCTTGCTTGCCCTAGGACCTCTGTAGTACACAGTTCTTTTTATGCAAAAAGCAGTCTGACTGGCTCCCTTCTCTCCATTACACTTGATTCAGAGGACCTGACTAGACTGGGCAATCTGTTGACCTAAGTTACTGGGCTGCTGGTGGCCATAGGGTAGGAACTTGGAATAAAATAATAGGAGGTGAGAGACCCTGTCTCAAAAAAAGGAAAGAAAACAGAGAGAGAGAGAGAGAGAGAGAGAGAGAGAGAGAGAGAGAGAGAGAGAAAGCGTCATGGTGTTGGAGTAGACATCAGTTTCTAAGAAATGACATCAAAAGTTCAGGAAACAAAAGAAAATAAATGAGGCTCTGTCAAAATTAGAAACATCTGTGTTTCATTGAACATCATTAGTACATGAAATAGACAACTTACATAGCAGGGGACATTGCAAACCATATGTTTGATAAGGAACTTGCACTGAGACTCTAACTTTCAGTGCTTAGTAATAAAAGCCATGACAACCAATTGAAACATGGACAGATTTGAGTAGACACTTCTTCAAAAATGGCCAATCATGGCATATAGTGCCCAATACCACAGTCACGGGGAAATTAAAACCCAAACCACAATAAAATACAACTTCACTTTCATGAGGATGAGGGGGTAGATTAGTAGATGCTGATAAAAATGAGAAGAAATGGAAACATCTATATATTGATACAAAGAAATGCCATTTTTTTCAAAAATAATTTTATCAGCTCTCAAGTGGTAAATAATATATGACCCAGGGTTTCCACCCCCAGGGATAGGCTCAAGAAAACTAAAAGCATGAATTTCTCAAAAATGTGCTTGTCGATGTGTAAAACAGTGCCGTTTACCACAGTTAGAGGGTAGGTGCAACTCAAATGTCCAGCAACTTGTAAATAGTAAAAATAAAATAAAAATGTAGTGTGTGGGGGGCAAAAGAATGAAGCATCCATCTGCATGCTAACACAGGCATGATGTTAGGTGAAAGCCACACGTTGGCTTGGTTGTTCCATTTGTATGAAACACTTAGAAGGCACCAATGACAGAAAGTGTTTTAACCAGGGACTGAAGTGTGGACAGAATACAGAATAGCTAACAATGGGCACGGGGTTTCTGAAGGAGTAGACGGGATGCCCTGATAGTAGGTAGCATAACTCCAGGGCCTGCTGAAGCCCTCTGAATCGAACATGTTTTAAAAATGTGAATTTTGTGATACATGCGTTATATTTCAATAAAGCCATTTTAAGGCAAGAAAAGAATCAGGGTGACACCAAGGTTTGGAATCTAAATCGGAGATGGGGAATATGGCAAATGAGGGGTGTAAGACCAGAAGTGCAGCTGCTGGTGTGTTGGACAGAGTCAACTGGGATTTGAGGGAGGAGGAGCATGGGGTGGAAGCGGCTGGTGGTATAAAATCGGGCTTTATTAGCATTTAGATAGAATCTTAAACTCTGGACTGGGTAAGATGGCAAACAGGAGTAAGAGCCAGCAGAGGAGGGGGAAAGTGTGCCAAAGACCGTGTGCCGAGCCTGGGATGTGCTGAAGCTTCCTCTGTGTGGGTCCAAGATGGTGCCAGCAACAGTGAACTTGGGACTCGTCCCACAAGCGAGGTTGGAAGTGAATCTATACAACCAGGTGTGGCGCATACAGCCAGCAATATAACCGGGGCCCAAACGCAAGCAATTCAGTCCTCCGGGCAAACTTGATTAAAATGAGGAGATTTATGAACTCCACAGTTTGATTTATTTTGAAAATCAAATTCATCTAAAGGCTTCATCCAAAGTCACCACGTAGAGGGCTCCAAGTTTTTAATGAGCTTTTTTTTTCCCCTTTGAATCTTGCGGCTCTCCGATAATCATAATTCTGTATGTGGGGACATGCCTTCCATCCTATTTTCTTTCCCCATCTCCTCTCCGTTTTCTTCCAATCTCAACTCGTGATTACAAGATTAGCATCTAGCCTGTGATGATTCAGGCATATTGAATAGCTTCCCAATGTGTATTTAAAATATATTGAAAACCTCATCTCAGAAATATGGTGTGTACGTTATTTCAGACTGTACTAGTCCTATCAAACAACAGCTAATGAGCCGGGAGCCAAACCGCTCAGTGTCTAGCCTGCCTGAGCAGAGAGTCTTCATTCTTTGAATTATTTTTCAGCCCAAATATTTTACTCTTCCAAATCACAGGGACACACAAACATTCCAGGAGGCTGCTGGCTTCTGGCAGTCTCTAACGGAGAGTAGAGTGATGGATTCAGATTGCCTTTTTCACTTAGGATTCTCTATAAATGCAGTGCCGCAAGCCACAAATGGGGCTAGCATTTGTCAACCAGAATTAGAATTCAGAGAAAGTTATTTCGTCTAAGGAAGCCAGCATAGCGTGCTAGCTAGCATAACCTGGGTACCTCTCTTGGGCATGCTCCGTGCTTTCTCTAGGTTAAGGCAATGGGTTTGCTTTTGTCCATTTTAACCCAGCACCATGGTTCTGTGAGTGAGGGCCCCCACTCAGAGACTGATGTCTCTCCAGTTAGGGACTCTATCCTCTTCATCCAATGCCTAGAGGAAGAGGGTACCGGTACCACTGCCTGCTCCAACTCCAGCCTCCTCTTCTCATAGTCTGAGCAAAATTCACAGCCATGATGGGTGAATGGGAAGTGCCACATGCCTTAGGTGGGTACCCTCTCCCCAGCAAGGACTCTGCAAATGGACAAGGACTTGTGGATTAGGAAGAAGATGACAGAGCTCTGGAGGCCACAACAAGCCAGGTGACTTGGGGTGAATGATTCAGTCCCTCTAAACTGACTTAGCTCTTTAGTGGTTTGCATCTTCCCAAGAGGGGAGAAAGACCCACCTTGTAGAGGAGTTGTCCTTGTTAAAGGCAGTGCATGCGCACCGGCCTCACTGCACAGTGGTTTCATTGGATGAAGCTGATTTCAGCCCAAGAGCATGGGTGAAATTCAATAGGTTAAGCATCAGGGCAGGCTTGATGAACACAGAAATAAAGTCAGAGATGAACTGGTGAGCAGCTGGGTTCAAAAATGGGCCTCTGCTCAAGCTGCTCACTTCCGGTCCTTGGTGGATGCTGGCCTGGTGAGCTCCTTCTTCATGTCCTCTGTGTTTGCAGAAGCTATTGTTAGTTGAGGAATTTGTCAATTTGATAACTCAGTCTAAACTTCTATGTAACAAATGTCTGTCTACCTTTCCCTTGTGGGTCTTAGGCACCAACCCATCCCACCTGAGATGGCTTTTCCCACACTCTAAAATTTCCTGTGTTTCCTCCCAGGAACCTTATGTATTAGTCCATTTCTTGGTGCTATAACAAAATACTTGGGGCAAACCAATTTACAAAAGAGATCAGACTTGCTTAGTTCATGGTCCTAAGGCTAGGAAATCCAAAAGCATGACTCTGGCATCTAATAAGGGTCTTTTTGCTGTGTCGTGATATGAGGCATCACATGGTCAGGCAAGGCAAATGTGCTAGCTTGGCTCTCTCTTCCTCTTTGTTTTTCAATACAGTTTTAGTTGCCCAGGGTGGAGTCCATGGTCTTGCACATGCTAGGTGTCTTAGTTAGGGTTTTAGTGCTGTAAAGAGACAATATGACCGTAACAACTCTCATAAAGAAAAAAATAGTAATTTGGGGCTGGTTTAGAGTTTCAGAGGTTCAGTCCACTATCATCATGGTGGGAAACATGGCAGCATCCAGGCAGACAGGGTGCTGGGTAAAGAGTTGAAAGTTCTACATCATGATCTACAGGCAGCAGAAGGAGACTGTGGGCCATACTGGGCATAGCTTGAGCACAGGAGACTTCAAAGCCCACCCCCACAGTGACACACTTCCTCTAACAAGGCCACACCTCCTGATAGTGTCACTTCCTATGGGCCAAGCATTCAAACACGTGAGTCTATGGGGCCATTCCTATTCAAACCACCACACTAGGCGAACAGTCCACCACTAAGCTGTACCTGTGACCCTGTCTTTCCTTTCTTATGGAGTCACTAACTCCATCATGGGTGTCCTTTCCTCGTGACTTTATCAAATCCCGATTGTCTACCTTTAGATACCATTAACATATGAATTTAGGGATTGAGTTTGCCATAGAAACTCAAATCACAGCATATCAGGAAGTGAGAAGACATCAGTACCCATGGCAGGGGGCTGATAATAGCTGTGAGGGTTACCTTTGCATCCAGTAGAATGAGTGTACTCCAACAGATTGATACCAGGGAAAGGAGAGGGCTGTCCCTTGAGCAAGCTGTCCTTGGGTCTGCTCTTTCCACGGGGATTTTAATGTTGGTTGGCTATGGCAACTTTATAGCAGGCACAGGTCCACACAGATACAGAGACGAGCTGGATCTTTCCTAGCCAGCTTGCTAGCAGCCCAGAGAACAAATGTTAACTAAGCAGAGTGAAAATTCAAGATTAGAGTGTAGGTCAAGGGGCAGAGTCTTCAGACAGGTGGCACTTGGCATCTAGGTCAAGAAGACAGAGCCCTGCCCAGGGTTGCAAGCTCACTCTTGTGAGCGTTTCCTGTCTTGGCTATGTCTTAGCCTGTAAACTCAGAACTTCATTTGGAGTCGGTGGATAACACCTACCTCTCAGAGCTGGCCTAAGAGAGCAATAGTTTGCAAGCCTGTGCTATCGTTTGGTTCAATGACCTTGAGTATTAGAGGCTTTGTCACCAGCTATCAGAAAGTAGAGGAACCTCTGCAAAGTGGGGTCTAGGGGCTCTTCAGGTTGTTGGTAGTATTGTCTGGAGAGGGACAGTGAGATCTTGTCTCCATCCTTTCTTTTTGCTACCTGGCCATAGGGTGAACAGTTCTATGTGCCCTTCCCCGTCCCTCATGCCTCTGCCATGAGGTGTTGCTTGCCCAAAGGCAGCAAGGCCACCAAGACTTTATATTGGATTCCCTGTAACTGTGAGACAATAGAGCTTTCCTGTCTCTAGTTTTGAAAGTGTCCATAACGGTGATAGAAAGCTGACTCACATGGGCTGCTATAACAAAGTGCCAGAGATGGAGTGGGTTAAATAACAGAAATGTACTGGCTTATAGTCCCAAGGCTAGAAGCTCAGAGTGTCAGGTGGCAAGGGGCCGTCAGAGGGCTGTGAAACTGGGGTGGACCCAGGCCCCATGCCTGCCTTGCAGCAATCTTCTGACAATCCTCGTATTCTTTGGTTGGAGATGCACTACCCTGATCTCCACCACCATTGTCATGCGCCATCTTCCCACTGTCCCCCTCTCTCTCTAACTCTCCTCACTGTGTTGGATTCGAGTCTAGCCTGCTCCCTGAGGACCTCATTCATCCTCACTACCTGATCTCAACAACCTCATTTTCAAATTGAGCCTCATCCTGAGGAACTGGGGTTATTCACCATTTGAAGGGAGGGTAGTAATTCACCCACAACAAAATGTGAAGGAAACCAGGACTCAAGGTAGCTGTCACAAAGGCGGGTGCGTGTCGCTTGGAAGGGCAGCCATTGTGTCTCTGAGGATCATGGACGTCCCCATTTTGTGCTTGGCCCAGCCTGCTCCTCTCACCTTTACTTTATTATTTAGTTTGGTTTTGGGGTTTTTGTTGTTGTTGCTGTTGTTGTTGTTGTTGTTGTTTTGAGACAGGGTTTCTCTGTGTAGCCCTGGCTGTCCTGGAACTCACTCTGTAGACCAGGCTGGCCTTGAACTCTGCCTCCCGAGTTCTGGAATTACAGGCATACACCACCTGTACCTCCAACAACCCCCCTCCCACCGCCACCGACCCCTCACCTCTGGCCCCGGCTTCTCCGCTCCTACACTGCAGCCTTCACCAGCTCAGTCTCCTAACAGAACGCCAGAGCCACGGCGTGATTTACAAGCCTAGCAGATGATTGACAGCAATATTATTGTAATCATGTTGAACCATTGTTATATTCTAACCACCTCTCCAAGCATTGCCTTTTAATCAATTTTCTAAAATTCTCTATGAAACACCATCAGAGGGAAACATAAGCCTCCTCCAGGAGGAATAAAACTGCCACATCCAGGCCAAGCTGAGTTTAGATGTGTGCATTTGCTCTGTGTGTGTGTGTGTGTTTACATATGTGTCTCTGTGTATATGTATACATATGTGTGTGTATGCATGTGTGTGTGCATGTATACATACACATTTGTCTGAGTGCTTGTGGGTACGTGTCTCTATATTAGACAGTACTGAGGGGAAGAGATGTTAGGCTACACAGGTGGAACCACTTGGATTCCGAACAAGGCAGATGGACTCTCTGGGCTGACATGTCCTCAAACAACAGCCACACAGGAATCCATTCCACGTGACCTCCAAGTGTCTGCCTGGTGACAGGGTTGGTGGTCTTGTATTAAAAACTGGAAGCAGGTTTGATTATAAAGGTCCCACAAATCAGACCCAAGCTATGAAAGCTGGGTCCATGGAGAATGGGGTGACTGTTTCCTTCTGAGAAGGATAGAGCCTAGAGGCTCATGGTCACAATTGTTCCCTCTCTTTGGTCACCTTTCACATAGGATTTAGAGTCTGCAGCCAGCCTGGGCTACACAGGGAGATCCTATCTAAGGAAAGAAGAACTAAAACCTATGACTTTCCCCCCATTTTCTCCACAGATCTGGGATCTGGAGACCCATGCCTGCTGCTGTACAGTCTCTTCCAAAGCCAGTGGCATCAAGGGAGAACTCACAGCCTGTCTCTATCTCCCCGGACCTAGAGCCCTGTGTGTGGCCACGGGTACCCTGGCCTTCCTTCACCTGAAAGTGGGGTAGGGGACAGTCTGTCATCCAAGCTTTGTGCATGCACTGTTCTAGAGGGTTCTAGAGAGTCCTGGTAGTGTGGTCAATATTCTACTCAATGCTCAGGTCACAGGCTCTGAAACTGCAGCCCTAGGCCTCTAGCCTTCAGCTTATATTTGATGAGGCTTTTTAATGCCTTCTTTAGTGACACCAGAGTAACCTGTACTATTAGAAGTGACTTCCTTTTGTGCCTGTCCCACCTACCACCAGCCTTAATCATATGTATACATATATACATATGTATATATATGATTCATTATATCTGGATCCAATATATCATCGTATATATGTGGATCTGGAACAGAATCCAGATCCAAAGCCAGAAACTAAACAGAAGGAGATCTGGGAGTCTGGCATTCCCACAGGCCTGTTGCCTCTGCTATTCCCCATGCTTCAGAGCCCTTGTCATGGTTTGAACAGGTTTGGCCTCCCCATAAAATCACATGTTTGCATAGTTGGCTCACACAGAAAGGCACTATTAGGAGGTATGGCTTTGTTGGAGTAGGTGTGGCCTTGTTGGAAGAAGTAGGGTAGACTTTGAGGTCTCCTAAACTCAAGCTACACCCAGTGAGCTAGTCTCCTTCTGATGGCCTGTGGAAGGCATCTCCTCCTGCCTGATGCCTTCAGATCAAGATGTAGACCTCTTGGTGCTCCTCCAGCACCATGTCTGCCTGTCTGCTGCCGTGTTTCCCACCACGATGATAGTAGACCAAACCTCTGAAGCTGTAAGCTAGCTCCAATTAAATGTCCTTTATAAGAGTTGGCTTGCTCATGTTGTCCCTTCACAGTAATGAAACCCTAACCCAGACACACCCCTTCCCCATCCATAAAGCAAGCTAGCCATGCAGGGCATCACATGCCAAAGTGATGAGGACCCCTGAGTAGATTCTCTTCCCCAGTACCTGAGGCTATAATGCCTTGAGAGCAAAATCTCCCCAATTTCACATGCATTCTTGTTTCTTTTACACCCCCATACCTTACCCCAAGCCCCAGCTATAGCATCATTGTCTTTTTTGCAAGGAATCTAGTGGCCACTTGCCTCCTCTTCCACCTCTGCTCTCCCTGGGCTGAAGCTGTCTGGTCTTATGCACTTGGAGAGGACTCTGCACATCAGTTGGCTCCAGGCACCTTGGCTGTCTCTGCCCTGCCTGAACTGAGGCTTTCTAGTCTTACAATAACATCGGGTGTCCAGGGATTGCCTAGTTCAACCCTTTATAGATGCATAATTAGGGATGCAGAAGCTGGGAATGGCTTGCCATGGTGCATAGAAGCCAGGAACAAAAACAAGACATCCAGCCTCTGGAAGAAGGCAGGCTTCTGGCTTCTTTCTGCATGCACCCACCTGATCAAAAAACTCAAAAAAGGAGAGGCAACCTTATATTAAAAAGCAAAGCAACAAAAGAAAAACATATAAGGAACACAAAAAAAGGTAGAGACAAAAAACCATAAAATTGGAAACTATAAAATATAAGTAAATGATTATATAAAATATAAGTTTATGGTAAGGAAGAAAGGAAAAAAAAGCCCAGACAAAGCATTATGAGACAAAGAACCCCCAAAGATGCCACTGAGTTTGTTTTGTGTTGACCATATGCTGCTGGGCATGGGGCCTGGCCTCAAGAGTGGTTCATATGCCAAATGAGACGTCATTTGGGAGTGGTTATCAGTTGGAGATAGCTTCTGGGTTGAGGATGAGAGCTTGCATCCACCTCCACTCTCAGCTCTGGGAGTGCAGTCCCTGTGCATGCTGCCACGGTCACTCTGAGTTCCCACAGGCACCGGTCCTGCTGTGTGTAGAAGGCCTTGTGTCCCTGGTTGTTCTCCATCCCCTCTGGCTCTTAACATCTTTCTTCTTCCTCTTCCTCGGGGTTCCTTGAGCTGTGAGTGGAGATTGATGGAGATATCCCATTTGGGAGTGCTCCAAGATCCAGCTGTGGCCTCTGTGTTTGTTCTCATCTATTGCAGGAGGATGCTTCTCTGATGGGGGCTGAGCACGGCGCTGATCATGCTCATATATTAGACAATACATATAAGTATAGCAGAATGCCATCAGGAGTCATTTTGCTGCTATCTTCCTTTAGTAAAATGGTAGTATTTGGTTTCCCCTGGGTCCCTGGCCTATCTAGTCTCAGTTTCTTGGCCACTAAGCAGTGTTGGGGATGGGTCCCATCTCATTCAGTGTTTGAGCTTTTAGGGGGTTTCTATATATGCCAATGTGTGTATCTTTTTCTCTCTGCATCTATATGTGCCAATGTGTGTGTCTGTGTCTATATGTGCCAATGTGTGTGCTTCTGCATCTATATGTGCCAATGTGTGTGTCTCTGCATCTATATGTGCCAATGTGTGTGTCTCTGCATCTGTATGTGCCAGTGTGTGTCCCTGCATCTATATGTGCCAGTGTGTGTCTGCGTCTATATGTGCTTCTTGTGCTTTTTCTTTGGCGCTTATTTTTCCATTTGTTCGTTTGTTCATTGTTCATGTGTTTGTTTTTGTCTTATTAAAGTTTGTTTTTGGTTTTGTCATACTTAAGTTTGTTTATTTATTTTTTAGATACCTGTTTGTTTTCTAATGAAAGAGCAGGGGAAGATGTGGATTTGGGTGGATGGGGTGATGAGGAGGACCTGGGGCAAGAGGAACCATAATCAGAATATAGCATATGGAAAAAAATCAATCAAATAAACAAACAAAAAAACAAATCCCATAAGGGTCGGGAGAGAGGATTCAATAATTAAGAGCACTTACAGCCCTTGAACTCAGGTCCAGTTTCTGGTGCCCATATGGTCCTCGGTGGCTTATAACTATCCATAAATCCAGTTCCAGGGGATCCCATGCACTCTTCTGACTTCTGTAGGCATAAGACACCCATGCGGTACCCATACATACATGCAACCAAAACAGTTATGCAAATTAAACAAACAAGTAAATAAATAAATAACCAAGCAGGCAAGCATCAGACAAAAGGAAATATACTTCCTGGTGCCATTTCCCACAGCCTGCCCTAAAGGCCCAAAGGCAATGGAATAAGCCACACCCTTCTGTGGAAAAGGAATTCTCCCCTGCCCTGCTAGCATGAGTGGTGGGGTGCTTGGCACATTCTTTGAGAACTGTAAGGCTCTCTGCAATCCAAAAGCATGGACCTCATTACAGCCAGCCTGGACTCAAACCCAGGTCCTCTGGAAGAACAGCCAGCGCTCTTAACCTCTCAGCCATCTCCCCAGCCCCATGTGGTCCACTCTTTATTCCCTGTTATTCCTCCTGAATATACAGCATACATCCCTCCTCCCAGCACAGCTTCTTCCAGTGTTAACCAGTATACACGGTCCAAGACAAGGATGCAGAAAATCCTCAGAGTGACTGTCATAGCCTGAATATTTCAGATACTTTTTCACAATGGTGACTGTCTTCCTGAGCCCCATATCAGGACCTTTGTCCTCCCCATGTTTTCTCTTGATTTGTGAACACAGGTATGGGCGAGCATTTCTTAATGCATTTGCTGTATTCCAAGGTCAAACTGCAAGTTAGGAGTTCATTCAAGGGGCCTAGAGATGGCTCGCTGGTCAAGAGAACTTACTACTCTTGCAAAGGACTCCAGTTCAATTTCTTTCTTTTTTTTTTTTTTAAGATTTATTTACTGTATATGAGTTCACTATCACTGTTTCAGACACACTAGAAGAGGGCATCTGATCCCATTACAGATGGTTGTGAGCCACCATGTGGTTGCTGGGAATTGAACTCAGAACCTCTGGAAGAACAGTCGGTGCTCTTAACCACTAAGCCATCTCTCCAGCCCTCCAATTCAATTTCTAGTGCTCACATCAGCAGCTCACAACTGCCTGTGACTCTAGTTCTAGAAGGCCTGACACCTCTGGCCCCTACAAGCATGTGGATAAGCCCACACACCAATACTTACATACACATAGTTAATTTTTTTTTTAAATTAACTTCATGGAAAACCAAGCACATTTTACAGCACCGCATGTGACCCTGGTCTTGGCCACCCGCTCCCTTTCTAATCTCAGTGAAGCCATGTAGCCATGGCCACCCGCTCCCTTTCTAATCTCAGTGAAGCCATGTGGCCCGCTAGAAAGGCTCAGAAAACTCAAATAGAGGTGCAACTAAATGATCAGTACAGCCAAGCTCCTCGGAGATCTTGAGCATTTCACTCAGGATGCCAAAACAGCCCACTGGAAGCGGGAGCTTCTGCCAATCAAGCTCCTGTTTGTTCTGCATGATAGAGTTGTGTAGAACAAACAGCTCACTTGATTGATTCCTTTTGGAATGCAGTGACTGGAAATTCTACTTCATGGCAAACACAATCTCAGTCTCTAGCGCTAACAATTAGATGCCAGATCCTGTCCCCTGTCCTAGCTCACCTCATCCCTGCTGTCACTCCGGAGCTGTGCAACCCAGTGTTACCTAACCCTCATTTGCAAAGCCTAAGCTCCTCCCCCAGCATCTGGGGAAAGGATCAGACCAGCAGCCAGACCCAGAGTTTTTTCTCTTTTCTCCTGTTTCCTCCTTTCTTTGGACTTCTTGCCTCCTCCTGCCTGTACCAGAGCCCACCATCAAGCCCAGGGACAAGCTGCTCTTTCTTGGAGAGCTGTCTCAGCATCGTATCTGAGGCAGCAGATCAGTGAGAGGCTCTGCCATTCTCCTGTGACCATGCTTGAGGATTCCCTGCAGAGAGACAGTTAAGAAGAGGGAGATGGCAGGGACAGCGCACACGGAATTAATGCTCTGTGTCACATCCACTGCATGTGGACATTTGTATGCATTTCCTTGTCATTATTCCTCACATTTCCATGAGGGGCTGCGCTTTGCAGATGAGGAAATGAGGCTCGAGTGGCTGCTGAGTGCTGGCTTCCCAGAGGCAGAGTCTGGAAGCAGGCTCTGGTTGCTCTGACATGCCCTTTGTACCTGGGTACCCCTGGGAGTCACAGCACCAGGCCTGCTGAGATCTGCTTGGCCTCATCCCTACAGTAATTTAAGAAGTGTTGCCTTTTGAGCAGAAGGATTCATAGTGTACTAATTTATGTTTGTTCGGGAAGTTTAAATTCTCATTATTCTAGATCATTCTGTGAGCCAAATCACACTCCCCATGCCCTTACAAGGAGATGCATGGCCACTTGTGATGGCACACACCTGTGGTCCAAGTCTTACTCAGGAGACAGAATCCGAAGGATCTGGAGTTTGAGGACAGCCTGAGATACAGGAGACCCTGTCTCAATCAATCCAAATCAATCAATCAGAGGTGTATGCTGTTTCCTTCATTAGCAGTCAATATACTTCATCACGTGCCAGTCACTTGTGTTCTGAGTGTGCCCTATCATGTGTTAACCACGTGTACTACTCTGAGAAGATGCCCACATATCTTTTCCTATTTAATCCCCGTGTCCATGTGATGAAACGCCACAACCAAAGCAAGTGGGGAGAGGAAGGATTTATTTGGCTTATGCTTCCACATCACTGTATATCATTGAAGGAGTCAAGACAGGAACTCAAACAGAGCAGGAACCTGAAGGCAGGAGCCGATGCAGAGACCATGCAGGGGTGCTGGTAACTGGCTTGCTCCACATGGCATGCTCAGCCTGCTTTTTTTTTATAGCACCCAGGACCACTAGCCCAGGGATGGCACCATGCACTATAGGCTGGGCCCTCCCCCATCAATGTCCAACAGGCTTGCCTACAACCAGGTCTTACGGAAACATTTTCTCAACTGACTCTCCCACCTCTCTGATGAGTGTAACCTGTGTCAACTGGACATGAAAACCAGCCAGCACGCCCTGTTGTAACCCTGTTGTAACCCTGTAAAACAGGTATCACTACCCCCATATTGCAGATTAGAGAGTGGGATTTTAAGCAGTCAGGCAAATTTCCCAGGGTCCTAGATCCATCATGTGAGCCCAAAGCCTTTCCTGCTGGCCACTGTGTAATGAGACAGCAGATAACCTCCCTCCTGGGTATCCTGGCAAGCCATCACTACAGGTGTCCATTGTCTCTGTTTTTCATGGGCAAGATCTGTCCCAGAGCCCCACCTGGTGCGTTCCCACCAAGAGCCCGTGGTGTGCTGCAGGTACAACCCAGCCTTCCGACATGTGGTCAGCTGCTGCGAAGCCTCCGTAAGTATTCACTCCTGATACCTTAGCCATGTTTGTGAGGTAGCCTGGCTGCTCCATCTTCCCACTAAAGCCGAGCAGTGTTTTCTGTTCCTAGAAACCAACAGTGGGTGGACATTGAGTCCTGCTCTGTTAATCACCCTGTATTGTTTGGACAATGTTTGCTTAGAGTCAAGTGGAAGACCCTGCCGTTTCCCCAGTGGCTCCCAGTATGAGCTTTTTGGAAGGAACATCCATTCTGAGAGTATTACATCCTTGTGATTATCTTATTTGTTGTAAAGCAAATACTTCTCATTAACTGGTTGAAACACTACTCCACTGTCTGCTCAGAGGACCTTGAGAGCAGGCTGGGAAACCCTCTCTGGGGTGGTTGGGGACTGACCGCAGCCATCAAGACAGATGATATTGGACTTCCTGGAGGAGGAATCTCATTCAAAGGCTGCTCAAGGGTTGGGCCTGAAAGAGAGTAATTGCAAGAAGGGAAATTAACTGAGGGGGATCATAGGACTGGAACTGTGGACGGTACAGGAAATGGGTCCTACTACCCCAGCTTCAATAGAATATCCAATGCAGCTTCTGGGTCAAAGGGTTTACTTTAGTCCATGTTCAAAGTTACAGTCCACTGTTGTCACCAGGAAGTCAACCAGGCTGAAGCTACAGACAACTGGTTATAATGCACCCACAGTCCAGAAGCATCAACTGAGGTCATGCTGCATCCACAGGCTATACTGCATCCAC